GGGGGCTTAATGATTATGTACTAAAAATGAATTAGCTTTGAAATCAGTTCCTTGGTATTCATCAAACATAAATGATGAGCAAGGGTGCCTTTTCCCAAATTGTGAAATGTATGGCTCCAGGGTCAGGGGTTCCTGTGGAATGGGGGTATTACTGATTAAATTGCTGATTAATGGAAATGCATTTTTCTTTGTTTCTCTACTCTGCCTCTGGGTAGCTACTTGAAAAGTTAAAATGATCTGCAAAATTAGGAATTTTATGGCCTCTGGTTTAAGACACGAACCAAATTCATACGTTGGAAAGTTGTTACAGGATATTCAGGTGACCTACAAGGCCTGTGGGCCTCTTGTTTTTGATGTTTTCTATATTGAAAACCTCACCCACTTAGATTCTGATAAACCACACACCCATAGATTGTGTTGTTGGGGGCCTGCATGCAGGGAAGATCCTCAGCCAGATGACTTGAACCCGGGATCAACATGTAACTATGTTGGGGCTCTCCTGCTGAGCTGATAGGGCCATGCAGATACTCAGTACAATGAAAATGCATTATTTGAAAGTTTTAAATGCTGGATATTTAGCAGACAAATAATTTGGTTGATAGTGAAGAGCAAGAGTGCTTCTTCTTCTGAAAAATTGATATTCTTGGGACTCCAGTGGTTCTGGAGTTTGGTGGTCCTCTCTTATGATCTTGTATGGAAATTTGAATTTTTCCCCCTTTATTGATAATTAATAATTAAAATATATGACAGATAAATCAAATGTTAGAATGACTAATATAATCCAGTTTTACTCTGCCATAGTAGAAGTTATTCCCCTTTAATTAAACAAGCATTTTAAATCAATGAAAAAGTACAATTACTAACAGTAATTTACAAATGCATATGAAACACTCCATCCCATGTTTATATATTTATATCCCTTGGTATGTCTTAATTTAAAAGGAAAACTGTGTGAAACACTCTATCATGTACTCTGGAATTTGCAATATTAATTAATACATTTTTCTCTCTGCCTTAGAATGTAAAGATCAAAACTATATTCTTAACCTCGATCCCCTCACATTATTATTCTTGTTCAGAAAGCTTTATATACAAATTATTTGAAACTTTAGGAATATAACTTCAAACTTTCTTGAAGAAATTACTGGGGTACTAAAATGTAGCTTACACAATCATTTAAATGAACACATGATCAAATTAAAGAAGAATATATAATTGAACAATTTATTTAAAGTCTACACTTTCATTTTTATTCCTCTTTTGATCCCGGATCTAATTCCTGATATTTCTCCACCATAACGAGACGTCTCGGTCCTAACATCTCGTACCTGGCCCCGCCTTCTAATCTTAGCTTTGCGATATTTCATTCGATGTTTAACCCTTGGGTTTTTCAGCTCCTTTTTCTTGGCTGGTGTCAAGCCCTTGTTTTTCTCAATCTGGTAAGTCCTGGCCCTCTTCCCTCCATCTTCAGCTTCTTCATCTTCTTCTCCCTCTAAGTCTTCCTCTCCTCCTTCTCTTTCTTCCTCCTCATCTTCAGAACTTTGCTTCATTTTCATCATTTCATAGTAAGCCAAGGCTGCTTTTTCATCCTCTGTCTCATAGCATGGATTTTCTATCTTTTGTCTTTTGTTGGGAATATCCTCTTCGTCACTTTCATCACTTTCATCGGGTCTAGAGATCTCCATTGCCTTCTCCCTCACAGTCTTCATACTCCTTCTCTTTGGCTTTATAAATGTGGAAGGTCGTTGGGGTTTATTTTCTTCCAGGAAAATCTCCTCTCCATTTCTTACTTTATTTAGAATTTCTTCTATCTGGTTGTTTAACTTAACATCTGCTGGCTTCATCTGCTTCATCAAATTTTGGTATTGCACAAGCCTTTTAATAACTGGATGGTTCTGAACTGGTAATTGTTTTGCCTTCAGCATCATGTAGAAACTAATAGTTGTGCAGTAGTTGAGAATAAGTTGAAGTTGACACTGAATGTAATCTGATGCATTTTTTGAAATTTTGCCACCTCCTGTGAGTTTTGATAGAGGAAGAAACTTGTCTTTAGCTTGCTTTATCATAGATTCAAAATCTTTTATAAGAGGTAACATTTCTGGAGATTTTTTCTTTAACAGTTGTAATTTTTCTTCAGCAGAGAGTTCAGACAATTCCTTGCTGATCTTCCCAGTACCGACTTCCTCATCAGTAACACTCTTTTTCTTCTCAAATATCCCCAAATGAAAGTCTGCGAGTTCTAACTCAGCTGCCATTTTTTTCTGCAAGTTCATGGCTTCCCTTTCTTCCAGCACTGCTGCCCCCTCCTCCTCTTCTTCACCGCTCAGGTCTATGTCATCATCACTTATATCTGCCCCATAGTACTTAGACCTCTTCTTGCCCCATGCTTTCAAGTCTGGGAGGTCCTTTCCTCCACTCTCTGTATCTTTTTCCCTGTCATTTTTTAATTTGTGTAATTTGAGCTTTCTCAGCTGTTTCTTGTAGTTTTGAATACTATCATCACTAAGCAAGTCATCATCATCGTCATCATACACACCTAGGCCCAGAACTTCCTCATCGCCGTCGGATGAATATTGCTCGTCGTCTCTCAGTCCTTTATCCAGAAGAATCTTTTCTTTTGCAGCATGGTTTTTATCCACATTGTCAAGGAAAAAATCCTCCTGAGTGGGATCTGGCACGGCTTCCTTGGAATATTTCCTCTCGTCATCAGAGTCATAATTGACAATATTCTCCAACGCCTTTTTTCTTGGCCTTCTCGGCATGTTTCCAGTTAATATTTCCACTCAAATCAGAGACAGTCACAGTGTGCTATGTTGTGAAAAAAACACATGGGTGAAAGGAGGAGTTATTGTTCATAATTCCGATAAAAATTATTGCTTATCGTTACCTGTCTAAAAAAAATATAAATTAAAGAAATCTTGAGATTTTAATATAAAAAAAATTATAAAATTTTAATTGTTATATCATAGATACATTCAAGAACTTTTCAATTATTAATTAGTTATCTTGTTAAATAGTTTATGCAATAATAAGTACTCCCTCGTAAAATCTAAATTCTAAAAAAAACTCGTCATTATATTCCGGATATAATAAATAAAAAAGGAAAAGTTTGTTGAATTAGAAATTTTATTCGTTTATTATTTTTTGTGTGGATTCAAATCCATGCATTAAAAACATTTTTTTTCTTTTGTATGCTTTTTAAAAAATGTTTTTTTTTTTAAAGGATTATCTACCCTTTTGTAATCTGTTTACTCGGATAGAGGGCATTGTGAACGCCTACTGAAAAATGTAAATAGATCGGAGATAATGTGAACAATATTATATAGCGACCACCGTCGATAGGTTGTGTAGTTTCAGAAATCAACATGTTTGTTTCAGCACGTGTACTTGTCTTATCAATATGGACAACTCTCTTATATGGTAGGTATTAATTTCAAAATGAAAAATTCTAGTTAGCTAGTTTAGGCCTAATCAATCTATCATAAGCATTTGTCTTGCAAAAGGTATACAGTCTCGTGTACATAAATTAATAAAGTCTGATTAATTATATTTTCTATTGATATATTGGCGATGAAGAGATTCTTCACGCATTTTAAAAGAAAATAAAAGTCACCGTTTCGAATTTTTAACTTTTAACTTTAAATATTTCGATGACTTCTCACCCAAATGATGGCAGAATGAATATACACACCACTCCTTTCTAATTCTTATTTTTTAAATGTCACCCGAGACGTATAACCCTATACTATTAAAGATTTATATACATATCCTTGTCTGGAATTCATTAATGAGTAGGTCTTGTAGATACAAGGTTATTTAAGTTAAGAATGTTTATTTGAAAATTTCTAAGAAAATTGTTCATTTATATATTTACATTTCCAGATTTATATACAAAATAAAATGCAGTATATTTTCTCATGAACTTCATTAGGTATGTATCACGAATAAGCATGAATATCTCCATCGTTATGTCATAATACCGCTCTTGACATCAAAAAGTCAAAAAATATAGTGCACACTGTTTTGTTTTAAAAATGACAGTTGAACGGCGTAAATTTATGGCAAGTCATCAGAAAAATAATGTAAATATAAGAAATGAATTTAAGTTTGAAGATTCATGATTTATCATTAAACGCTAACGCGCTTCATGAAATATGCCGGCGTGAACGTCGTAGTTCATAACCTCATGAATCTTCAAAAATTAAATTCATTTCTTAAATATATGCCTATTTGTAATGAAAATTTGTTAAAATGAAAGGTTTGATTGGTTGTAATTCTACTTTAAATTTCTACTTATTTTAGAATATTTTCATATGTTAATACATGTATCATATTTTCATAAACGAAGGTAAAACTACTGTGATGCTTATTTTAATTTTTAAAAAGTAAAATTTTTGTTTTCTGGTTGTAGGGGCTTTAGCTTCTCTAGACAGATGTCCCAGTATCTTCCATCGCATCGGAGGATATAAAACTGAAAATGGAGAGATGTGCTATACATTTGTCAACACAGAAAAGACATGGGTTGATGCTAATAGACAGTGCTGGTCCTGGGGTGGAGAGCTGATCTCTATCAAGAACATGAATAAAATGAGTTTTGTGATACACACCCTGAACTCAGTCTTGAGGTGGAGAAATAACGGGGTGTGGATCGGGGCTCACGACAGACATGGCCGGGGTTGGCAGTGGACCAATGGTAATGTTCAATTCTAAGTAAAGTTAAAATTCTAATATAGACGTACAGTATTGTTTTGTACATTTTATCTGACTTAAATGTCTGAAATTGTCCCTTATATACATGTAAAGTTAAGGTAAAATGTTTCGAACTTGATGACAACATGAACAGGGATTGACAAATCTCATGACACTTTTGTTGCCTTAAATTCTCAATGGGAGCAGACTGAACATGCAATGTATTTAATTTTATGTTAACATGAGACACCAGGCCTCATGTTTTAAATTCAGGATAAAACCTTGACCATTTTGTGGACTTGTTGACAGGTCTAATTTCCAATGTACCTGCCATATACTAGATGAGAACGCACATTATGAGTCATATCAATGTTTACAAGTTGATATGTAGAACAATACACATAAACATTAAATTTTCATTGTCTATTAATCTGTTTCTGTTTTTCCACCCAATCATGTCAGAATCATAGTCATGATCTTAACTTTCTAATGTAGAAATGGAAAGACATTGAAAGGCCATACTTGACTCAAAGATTACACATGAATATGTCCTTTATGAATATGTCCTTAATGAGGATGTGTAATGACCTTGACTAAAGGTCAATTGGCCAAATTTAAGGTCACCGGCAGAAGAGGTTAACTCTTTATGTCTTGTCAGTGATTTTTTTCTTGAAAAAATGAGAATATATCACAGAAAAATTACTGTCTGATAAAAAGAGGGTATGTCACGAACTCTATCCAGGTTATTTAGGCAAGTTCAAGAACACTTTCAAAAAGAGCATAAATTATATCTCATAGTTGTAAAGAGGAAATGGTGGATACACCAAATTACATAAAAAAATGTATTGTGGGAATGAGGTGGGAATGCAGGTATCATTTTTTCGCAGTATCAAAAATCAGCAATTAAAACTATACTCTAGTAACTTTACCCCTCAACAATTTTGACACAAATTTAATGGCAGAAAATTGAGTTTTAAACATAAAAATGTGTTGTCAGATAATAACTCATTTAATATAATTTCAGGGGAGAGGCTGAGCTGGGGGTATTGGGCCTCTGGACAGCCCAGTAAGACGGGGGGATTCATTTCGTTAGAGGACTGTGCCCTGATGAGACGAGGCGATGGCTGGAGATGGCATGACTATCATTGCGATTCTTCATTCTTCTACACGTACAAATTCATCTGCCAGTTTCGTAAGTAAAAAATATCTTTTAGGTTTTGGTGTGGTTTTTGTGTTTGGCACATTTCTTTCTCTATTTTAGCTTTGGCATTAACTGTGTTTTAGATTTACTTGCTGCACTTTGCTAATAGCTTCAGTGATTTCCTGATTAAAATGCAGTTAGGGTGGTTAGAGTGTTAATTGAACCATTGAATAAGTTTTAAAGTTTCTTACAACTCTTTTATCTCGATTATTATAATCAGTGATGTAGAAAAAGAGTCAACTCAAATGATTTAAAGTTTTCCAGTTGTAAACAATACAATGTACAATTTAAACCTATCCTTTTGTATAATTCTATGGTTGTTGATTAATAACTAGAATGTATTCTTAGGTTTATTCAGCTTTTGTTAATTACATCTGTGTGTATTTGATGTTGACATTCTGACATGGTAGAAAGTTAAAGTCAATTATTATGAACATTCAGAATTCCCTTTCATTAAGACTGTGGTCATGCAATATAGCCAATCCTCTGACATTTACACACATGTTTCTAGTTCAGCATATGGCGCTGAGTTTGGTTCCTTATGTTCATGGCTAGACTTGAACAATATTCCAGTGTATTAGCTGTATTATGTACTCCTGCCTTCATATTAACCCCTCTTGTGGTTTTGCTTCTCAGCAGTCTATATTTTGAGATACAGACTCTGATGCTTATGCATGTTTTAACTTTTATATTTATAAACATGAAGGAGGCATTCTGGTCTTATTAAGTTTAGTCTAAATCAAAACAATTATCAGAAAAATAATTTTCCTGAAATACCTATAGAAATTTTGATTTCAATGCAAAAAGTATCATGCAGTGGTGTACTGTATCTGAGTGTATATGTTATTTTTAATTAAATCAGTAATTAAACACCTGTCATTTTATCAATGCAAAGCTTTTCAAGGTCATTTATCAGATAACAAGCATTCTACCTGTTATGGTTTGAATTGTTACATTTGTTTCCAAGAACTAATCTTTCCCAGTGTCCACCTTAGCAGTCAAAACTTTATTATGTATACTCAAATTAACTGAGTATACATATACATATTAGTACATGTATCTAAATATTAAAACAATCTGTTGTTAACCAACACACACCCTTTTCACTTGAAGAGGAGTACATTGTAAGCCAGCTAGGGAAAAAAGAAATAAGAAAACGGGAGAATTTTATCTTTCTCAATTTTTGAATCAGGATCATGGTTAAAATGTATTGGAAAATACAGTATTTCAAATGTCCAGTATGCATGTATGATTCATATGGTAAGCAGTTCATGATCAATTGAATGCTTCACGAGAAACACCTACATTGAGCATGATTACGCCATTATTTTCTGGAAGTCTATCAGAAACTGATTACCTCACATTTTGCGGAGTTTCACAATTGCCCTGACTTCATCAGCGTTTTCTCCTGTGTGTAACTTGTTTGTCAGCATATTGATTGGGAACTTCAGGCGGCCATTAGTGATTCACATCTCACAGTGGCACTCTTCCAGTGATGTTTGAAATGTTGTAACAATATTGAATGTAAATGTTTTACTCACAGCACAACAGAGGTTAAGAAAGTGTCAGAAATCTTTCAGGAATGTAATGAACTGGAACAATCAGAAAAGAAACGTGATCATTGGATACCAATCATTTTATCCTCCTACTTGCACATGACTAAATTTGAAATCATTTGATGATTTAAATCTAAAATATTTGCTACACTTACAGTTTTGAATTTTAGAAAAACTAAAACAGAAGAACTGTTTATTTTATAGAATCAGTTGTTACTACATTGTACGCAGTACCACTTGAGAAAAAAATGACAAACTTATACATGTTATAGTTAGTCTGTGGCTGATCACTCGAGTTCCTAAGTAGGGTTTTCTGTCATCAGGTTGAAATTCTAGAGTTCAGTGAATTTGGCTGTTAACAGTTTGTTGGTGTCAGAGTAGTTCAAGTACATTTCTTATGACTCTCCACTTAGCGTGGCTCTAACAATGAATACTCGAGATTTCTCTCTGACATTGGGGAAAAAACATCATATCGTATATATTAGGTTGATTTCTTAGAATTTGTATATCAGGTAATATTTACATTTCCAATAAATTTCCCCTATGATTCTTTACAAAATAAAATGCAGTATATTTTCTCATGAACTACATTAGGGTATGTATCACGAAAAAGCATGAATATCTCCATTGTTACGTCATAATACCGCTCTTGACGTCAGAAAGTCAAAAAATATAGTGCACTCTGTTTTTTTTTTTAAAATGACAGTTGAACGGCGTAGATTTATGGCAAGTCATCAGAAAAATAATGTAAATATAAGAAATGAATTTAATTTTTTGAAGATTCGTGAGGTATTTGAACTACAACGCTTCACTCCAGCATATTTATCATGAAGCGCTAATGCGCTTCATGAAATATGCCGGTGTGAAGCGTCGTAGTTCTTAACCTCATGAATCTTCAAAAATTAAATTCATTTCTTAAGTATTAACTTTTATGAAGGGTATCTTTTATGATAAATATATAGGGTTTCCCAATTGGTAATGAATTATCTGTTATCATAAAGTGGAAATTTTGAATGAAATTAAATATTTTTAGATTATTCATTTATTTTTTCTGGTATATAAGAAAAAGAGTTCGATTAAAAATTCCAAATGTTTATATTTTTTAAATATTTGTTTTGCAATATAAGAAAAAATTCAGACTTTTAATATATATGGTTTGCTTTTAATAAACATTTTTTTCATAAATCTCAGACTCAGATAATATAAATATGTGTAAAATTAAATTAAAACTGAAATCTAATCTGATTTCAGTGAATGAACACAATGAATATTAAACAAGAGGCCCAGGGGCCACATCGCTCACCTGAGCAAAACGGCTAGGAAAAACACAAATCAGATCAAAACTGAAATGTTTACTGAAGGGGGGGGGGGGGGGGGGCTTGAATTTCATACTACTTTAGAATGTCTTCATGTTAATTAATACAGCATATGACTTTGCTGTTCTTGATAAAAAGATTTTTTAAAAACATTTTCTTCCTATACTATCACTAATCGTTGCTTTGAAGTACTTGAGAAGACGAATTTTAAGATTTTTCCTATATATTCCTTCGTAAAACTTTGATCTGCCATTGTGGCCCCACCCTACCCCGGGGGTTATGATTTGAACAAACTTGAATCTACACTATCTAAGGATGAGTTTCATCTTTCCTGGCCCAGTGATTCTTGAAAAGAAGATTTTTAAAGATTTTCCCTATATACTCCTATCTAAAACTTTGATCTGCCATTGTGGCCCCACCCTACCACCAGGGGTCATGATTTGGACAAAATTGAATCTTCACTATCTGAGGATGGTTCCACATGAGTTTCATCTTTCCTGGCCCATTGGTTCTTGAGAAGAAGATTTTTAAAGATTTTCCCTACATATACTCCTATGTAAAACATTGATCAGCCATTGTGGCCCCACCCTACCCCCGGGCATGGCCTTTCATTTGAACAAACTTGAATCTACACTATCTGAGGATGCTTCCAATTGAGTTTCATTTTTCCTGGCACAGTGGTTCTTGAGAAGAAGATTTTTAAAGAATTTCCCTATATACTCCTATGTAAAACTTTGTCTTGTGGCCCCACCCTACCCCCAGGGGTCATGATTCGAACAAATTTGAATCTAACTATAATTTCCACATGTATCCTGGCACAGTGGTTCTTGAGAAGAAGATTTTTATAATATATAAAACTTTGTGCAAGATTTTAACAAACTAATTTACACTAAGGATTTTGAGTTTCATCTTTCTAGTGGTTCTTGAAGAAATTTTTTTAAAATGCCATTAAATTTTCACTTTTATAATTCCCCTTGGAAGATGAAATATCCCCTTCACCTAAGGGTACTTTGTGGCAAGTTTGGTAGAAATTGGCCCAGTGGTTCTTGAGAAGAAGAAGAAAATGTGAAAAGTTTACGACGACGATGACAACGACGACGACAACACCAACGACAACACCATCGACAACGACAGACAACGGACAAATTTTGATCAGAAAAGCTCACTTGAGCCTTCGGCTCAGGTGAGCTAAAAAGCTAGTGCAAACAAAGTTTTGATGTGACATACTGAAAGTTCAAACTATTATTTAACAAGAGACAGAACACTTGTATATAATAGGGTTATCTAGGTTTGGTTTGAACATATTTTATTGTTTTGAAGTTATAACAAAAGGATTGGACACAAGTTCTTAAAAACTTAGAACAATTAATAACACAAAGTATTGTTCAAAATTAATTTACATAGGAACCAAAGGTCAAGAAGATTATTTAACATAGGTAATGCATGTACAGAATTGAATTAATGTAGTATGGACAAACAAATCTAAATACATTACTCAAAAACGACCAGATCTAGGTGATCCAAACCACTTCTGGTTTCCGAATCATTTTATCACTTTGTACTTTCAAACTGGTGTTCAAGGAACAATTCAACTTCGTTTACTGGGTATAAATGTACTTTCATTTAATACAGAAGTACTCCCGTGTCATCCTGTGTAAACCTAGCAAAGTTTTTTTGTTTCCTTTGAAAAGTTGTTAGATGAGAATCATGGGGAAAAATCAAATTATCAGTCTAGTCCTGTTGGTTTTATTCTAAAGCCTGCAGTGTTCATATTTAAATGTGAAGCTATAAGCTTCATTTTTAGATGATTGTTGAAATTCATAATGGTAAAAAAATCCATGCGAAGCAATATAGCTTTTAAAAGCTTGCAAATTATTTTATTTGTAAAAATAAATATCTAGGGAGGTTTATCACTATAACTTTAGGAATATTTTTGAAATTATGCTTGACTCTGACTCTCCTGCTACCCTTGTTCTGTCATTTTTAATCCTGTATAAAGCTTATAACTTCAAAGTGCACAGGTACATGTATATTATATTTAAATTTGCCAGAGCATCACTAATAAGTTATATTTAAGACATTACACAAAACAGGGCGGGGCTTGAGGCGAGATTGATAATTCATTTTCACATGAATCTAAATATAATGTATATATATTCAAATGACTTGTGACATGACCTTTCTAAAGACCTCACCAATTTACATTCGTATTTGGGTACATACCTCTCAACCAATCAGATGATTTTGGCAGAAAGTTGATTTAGTATACCATTTTAAGCATTCACAACTGAAATGCCGAGTGAGGTCGATGTGCAGGTAATTATTTACTATTATTTTAAAAATAATTATTTGGGGGATGCATTATATAATTTGTTTTCCAAAAAATTAATTTTGATTTGATTGGGTAGGGGTTTTTTTCTCTATTCAGCTCTTGCTGGGTTTTTTTTTTAATTTAAGCTACGAATTAATGCAAAACATTTTTTATAAATAAGAATCATATTTTTGAAACAAAAATGCTTCGGGGACATCGTATTCTGAGAGAAAATGTCCGACAATTAATGTCCTCCACCGTTCGCCTTATACAAAATTGAAATAAACAGATGAAAGGAAGGGGGATATTTACTTTCATGTTTTTAATATAATGTAGAGTAACCAAAGCAGGATCCAGTACTTGCCCCCTCCCACCCAACTTGAAGTTTTTTTTTCTTTTTTCGCTTTTGTATATTATTTTTGCCAAACTTATATACATACGCTTTTTAATTTATCAACAAGTAACGATTTCACGCACATAGTGTCTTGGTTGATTATAAACCTATCCCCCAAAATACGATTTTCAATTTTTTTTAAGGGGGGGGGTCAAAGTAATCGTTTTTAAACTGCCACACTCCCTCCTTTCTAAATTTTCTGAATCGGACACTCATAACTTTTCGTTGTAAAATTTTATTCTTCAAATTTTGAGTAATTACTAACAGTGCTATCATGCGAATTGAACGATTGTTGTGTCTGAATATATGGATATAGCTTTCCGTCACCACTAAAAATAAACCGTACTGTATCGTTGATATTTTGCAGATACAGTACAGTTTCTGCTCATTTGCATAAGAAACGCCCACAAAAAGTGTTCTGTATCGCAGTTACAGTATGCTTGACTTCAAAGGAAAACTCACCGGGTCATGTCACAATGCAAAGACATTGCACAAAACTAACGCTATCCTGAATATTGATTAATTCATTTTCACATGAATATAAATATAATGTATATATATTCAGAAATTAACACTGTTTTATCTTAAAAGATACTATCTGAATTGTAATAGAAGACATGAGATTTTCCTGAAGAATATTAATTGTTAATTTTAACGTCTCATTAAAACTACATACATTTGTACCAGCAATATGTTAAAATACCTGCTGCCATTGAGAAATCAACAAATTAAATTTTTAGCCGATGGGGGGGGGGGGGGGGAATTGAATTCTCAAAGTTGCTGTTTCTTGCTCAAGACACCTGAATTGAAAATTTCAGAATGTGGTCATTTTTTGAAATGACACATCATTTGTAAATATGGTTTGTCTTTTTCTTAACTTAAATGCCCGGCCAATTAAATGTTTATTATGTTTATAGTGTGTATCTTTTATTCTAGTTTTGACAGTATTGGTGGGACAATTACAATTTTTTGTGTTTTAAGAGGCCTTCATAAAGAGCTCTTTTGATGGATCTGTAAATCATCTTTTTAATTCATCAGTTGTATAGATACAAATATTAAAGACAATTCAATGAAAGCTTTTTTGCTAATTAACTTTTTGACTAATATTAGGGAAGCTGCCTCCAACTACAACCACTAGTACTACGACTAGTACTACAACCACTCCTAGTACTACCACCACTAGTACAACCACTCCTAGTACTACCACCACTAGTACTACCACTGTTAGTCCCACTCCAAGTGTTAATCTGACCAAAACTGTCGGGGCCAAATCTAACTTGACCGTTCAGGCTGTGGACTTAGGAATTAAGTTTGACCACACAAATGTTAAGTTTCAGGAGAAAGGCATTATTGCAGGTAAATATTTAATCTATACATGTACACATTATACTACTGCTGAGTTTAGTATCTCATGAATATTGATTTACCCCCAAGTTGATACTTTGATGAAGAATGCCAATTTTGAGATTACTTACCTGCTTACCTGGTATATCAAATTTGCATGGATGCAGGGATATAGGTTCATTGTATATAAGACTGATATTGCATGACCACTGAAAGCTATTAGTATACTTTTGTTGCATGCTATTTGTTGGTATTTTCCATCTTTATGTGTATGCAGAGTTACCTTTACATTATTATTTTTTTGATTTTGAAAGTACCTTCTTTTTACTGAGGATTTTCCTAAATCACTTAATGTTTGTAATACATGTATATTAATTTATTTATCTTGGTCATAGTGTTGTTTTTAATCCTAGAGAAACAAGGTTTAGTTGTTTTGTCAGAGATATGCCTCAATATTTGGACTTTGATTTAGTATTGGCATTTGAGTAATATAAATTTTCTTCTGTGACAATTTCTGTATCCTATTAAGGTACACCGACTCTCTGGAAAGAGAGATAAATCTAAATAAATTACTTATTCCTATATACAGTAAAACTCGGTTAGTACAAACACAGATATTGAAAATTCACGGATATAGCGAAGTTATCTTGGATCCCCAGATGTATTAATTTAATGAATTTCTTATACGGATATAACGAATTAGGGATATAGCGAAGTAATTTCAGAGGTCCCAGTGACTTCGTTATAACCAAGTTTTACTGTATATATACAGGGGTATATATATATTAGTTTTTATTTTCAAGTTAAAAAAGGTCACTTCTGTTAAATTCTGTTCCTCAAAGTTGGTTGTAAACTTGTGTACTCTTGACTATTAATTACTTGTAATTTTTGGAGAAAAAATCATAATCAAAATTGATTGAAAGTGAACAGAGGGCCAAAGACCCTTCAAACACCGAAAAAAAAAAGCAAAAACTTAATCTATATGTCTTGAGGAAGTTTGTGAAATAAATTCCATGATCCGGATTGTACACTTATGTTTTGTTGAAAATAAGAAAACTGCATGAAGGCATGACTGTAAAGGAAGAATTATTTTTGGGAATTCAAAGTAACTCTCTATTTTCTTATAGAACATGTCCTTATGACTGATAAATTCTCTTGTTAAAATCAAGTACTTTGTTTTAAGAGCTTGATAAACATTTATGGAAATCTCAAAATAGAAAATATCATGACATTATCTTAAAATTGTTTAAGACATCAGGTTAGTTCCAGTAAGGCCTCAATAGCTAGTTCCTAATCTGGATTCAATTTTAGAATTTCCAGATATTTATAGAATACCTAGATTATCTAAGAACTTGATATGGATTAGAGATTATCCAGGGTCATTATTGAAGTATTTTGATGATTTAGCTATTGTTAACTTTTCTGTTTTCATAGTGCAATGCATGTATAAACTAAAGAAGATTTTTCCCAGATAGAGAGTTCCATGATGAAAGAATGGTTGCAGTGGGACTTTAAAAAAATATATAATTTGACTTAAATTTGAGCATATTTGTTTCAACCCACATTGATTGGCATTTTCCTGGTCTGCTCATAGTACATTATCTAGACATGTTTTAAGTGTTGAATGCATTGTGCAGTACTCTCTGAATGACCTTGGAGAGTCTCTGTATATCAAGTTACATGTTTTGGATTTTTCTTAATAAAACTCCCACACAGTTTGAGGAGGGGCTGCAAACAATTAAGTGGGAGTCTGATAACCTTAAGATAACACCCTCCCACTCTGTGGGGGAACAAACTGGGTTATGGCTGCTGAATTGACATGTGATGTGTGTTTGTAACAGATACATAGAGGACAATCTGATACAGGGGAAATTTTAAGCATATGTTCTGAAAAAAAGATATCATCGCATGTTATTAAAATGTATGTGCAGTTTGGTGCATGTTTGAAATTATTTATGTATTGCATCGAGTGCAGTCTGCATTCAAAGAGCGGGCCTCAGAGTTTAATTAAGCATATAATCATTCTCATTTTTCACTGAACTGAAATACATATAAATCTGGGTGTCCATATTCATGTAAACATTAAGGATACAAATCTTACCTACTCGGCCTATATGTTTCGGTCAAGTTGATGTATATCATATTATATATTATTCAGGTTATTGCATATTGAAGCAGCATTTCTAGCATGTATCAAGCTGAAAACAGAAAAATGACATCTTTGCTATCAAGATATGATACTAACAGCATGTTCATGTTATGAACTTAAACCTGCTGTGTAGATCATCACTACACAGATCCAAGTTTTTGACTTTTTATATTGTTATTTCATTATACAGATGAGCAGCTCAGCTGAAGAATTGTATTCTAAAAATTAGGTTTTTCTCTCCTTTGTTGACAAAAGAAAGAGTTTTGACAATTAACTATGGTATATCAGTGTCATTTTAAAAAAACATTTGTCAATGTTCATCGATTTGTGTTTAGATCTAATGATAAGTCAAGTTATTATATTTGATTACATTGATTAATATGGTGTCTTCTAGCTATTCCCACTTTTTAAAAATCTTTCACCTATTCCAAAATAACAATTTTCTGATTAGTTAATTTGTTTTTACTGTTTTACATCTGTATTTTACCAGTATTTTGTACATTTTAAGACAGAAAATAAATATATTTATTTAAAAAAAATATGTATTTTATTAGAAAAAAATGCATATAAATATTTATTTAATTTGAAAAAAAAATAAATATATGAAAAAAAAAATATTATAAATAACTGGAGCATACCATCTTTTACACCTAGAATAATTCTCTGAACTTTGTCAACTTTCATAAACTTTTGTGTAATGACTTTGTTGCATTTTGCTATACATTGTAAAATTGTGTTCGTTTGATTTTAGCATGGGAATATTTATATGGATTTTAATATATATTTAAGTGCTTATTTGTTCCGTACTCTATTTTATGAAATGCTTTACCATACACCAGTCTTATGCAGTGTGATTTTTTAATGAATAAAATAAATAATTTATTTGCTATTTTTATTTGAAAAAGTCTAATTTCTCAATGAAATAGAAGTAAAAAGTCCGATTTTTTAATTTAAAGTAGCAAATTTACCTGTCCTCTATTCCAACAGTGGTTTAATAATTACTGTTTTCACAGTGTGTTTATTCGGCTAATTATTTGTTTACACAAAAATTCCATACTCCCACATGAAATTTTACCCTTTTCTAGTTTTTTGATTTTTTATATTGTATAAACAGCAGTTTAAAATGTTCATATTTAATGTATAATGTGAACACGCAAAGAACCCCCCAGGATAAAGTTTTGATTAGTAGCAAATATCACAAACAAGGATGAAGAATTGTATAATCTAAAAATTAAGTTTTTCTTTATTTTAAAAAAAAATTGACAAAAAAAAAAAAACTAAAAAATAGTTTTGACAATTAACTATTTGGTATATCATGAATTTAAATACAAAAAGTATGATTTTAAAAATCATTTGTTAATGTTTTTATTCATATTTGTGTTTAAAATAGATTTTGCTGTGAATTTTAATTTCAAGTTAATATTTGATTACATTATTAATATAAACAGCAGTTTAAATGTTCATATTTAATGCAGTGATATGTAAATATAAAGTATTGTCAGGTCAGTACTGGGAGTGACACAGGTAAATATAAGTATTTGACCTAGTAGTGATAATACCACAAACAAGGATAAAGGGTGCCATATTCCATATCTAAAAATGCATAAGTTTAAGGTTATATTTATCTATGTTCTTCCCATCCTGTTTTTATAGCCATTTGAAGTTTTTTTGCATGCGCGTGATTTTATAAATTTTTATCTTTATCCTATTGAAAAAAATGAATGACTATATTTTAAAATTCTAAACATTTCGTCAAAAAACAAAGGAGATATAGCCATATAAAAAATCAGATTGCAGCACACGTGCATGCGCGTGATTTCATGATTTTTTTTCTATATCAATTTTAAAAATGCATGACTATGTTTTAAATTTCAAAGCATTTCGTCAAAAAACAAAGGAGATATAGCCATTTAAAGTTTCAGCCAATCAGATTGCAGCACACGCGCATGCGCATGCATTCATGAAAATTTTTTATATATCTTGCTGTAGATCTTCATAATGTAGGACTATGTTCAAAATTTCAAAAGATTATGACAAGAAACAAGAAAGGTATTGAGACTTTAGTTTCAGCCAATCAGAGCGAAGAGCACGTGCATGCGCGTGAGATCTTGCTATTTTGACCATGCCGTCTTGTCTATACTACTAATGTATCCTTACATTATGAGTTTCAAAAAAATTCATCAAAAAAAAAGAAAAGTATATCCATTATATTGGTCATTTTATGTTGCATGCGCGCTCTTGCAAGCATGCGCGCAAAATGACCTTTGTTCGGCAAATCTACATAACATGTGACCCTAAAAACATTTTCAGTTGGATGTGTCTTTACAAGATCACTCTGTTTTTCCCATGGAAGAAGAAAAATAATAATAATAATAATAATAATAATAATAAGAAACAGATATTGTAACTTAACATAAATATAAGTATTTTACCTCAGTACTGGGAGTGGTACAGGTAAATACAAGTATTGTCAGGTCAGTACTGGGAGTGATACAGGTAAATATAAGTATTGTCAGGTCAGTAGATGGGAGTGATACAGGTAAATATAAGTATTGTCAGGTCAGTAGATGGGAGTGATACAGGTAAATATAAGTATTGTCAGGTCAGTACTGGGAGTGATACAGGTAAATATAAGTATTGTCAGGTCAGTACTGGGTGTGACACATCTAAATATAAGTATTGTTTCCTGAGTGACACAGGTAAATATAAGTATGGTTAGCTGAGTGACTTAGGTAAATATAAGTATTGTTAGCTGAGTGATACAGGTAAATATAAGTATTGTCAACTCAGTATTGGAAGTGATACAGGGAAAAAGAAGTATTCTGTGATTGATATCAATTGTGTATGAATGACTGTAAAAAATGTATGATTCAAAACATATCTTTTTTATTTCATCATCAAAGTCTTTAACTTTTGCATAATATACTAAAATGTTTATTTTCAGGAATTTTAGCAGGGATTATTGTTGGAGGAGCTATCCTAATTTTGATAGGAGCCATTGGAACTCTTTTGTTAAGAAGGTAAATCAATATTTAAACTGATGTCTGAACTTGAGCAAAACATGGATAACATAAAAAGGTTCTTGTAAGAATGGAATTACCATTGAATAGTTTTGTGCAAGATGATAGGATGTTTGTTAAGCACATTTCAATGACATTTGTTCAATAGTATCGTCAAGAAATAAATTGTATTCTTGAAATCTTTGGTACCTTTCTGTCTGACTGAGTGTATGATAATTTGATAAACAAGTTGAAATTAATGAGATTTTTTTGTTGTTGAAAAAGTTGATTTTTTTATTGCATAAAGTATTGGTATATTTAAACACATGTGGTCAAATATGTCAAATTTCAAATGCCCATTAGTTTCATCACAGGAGTGGGTGTAAAGGACCTAAGTTTAACACCTTGTGGAACTCTCCATTTATTCTGTTTAGAGTCAACTTTAAAAGCTCTAATCTTTACCAATGCATTATATATTTTTTTTCTGAGAGTTGAACAATGTTTAATTTGGGAATGTTATGGTAGAGGGAACAACTCAATTAACTTTTTGTAGGAGAAGGCAGAAAAAATTTGAGGAACCATCAGTCCAGTTCCAAAATCTAGCCTACTCACGAGTGACCAGTGGTGGACAGGACGGGAATATGGCCAGCAATGTTTACATGGACACTAATGAGATGAATCGTCTGTATGAGGAGGTAAACAAACAAGTGAATCATGGTGTGAACTGCTTCAGTGGAACTGTGCTAGACATTCAGGTACCGAGATCTGAGTCCGAGGACCAGGAGAACGCCTGCTGCGGGGGAATGTCAGAGGAAAGTGATCTCAAAAAGCTAAATAACCTCACTCACGTGGTTATACCAACAGACACCAAAAATCCTCCTGACATAACTGAGAACCATTACGTAGATATGAGCACAGCAAACAAAGCAAAGGAGACAAATCGCCTCATGGAAGCCAGTCGAGTGGTGGATCCTAGCAAACCCTCAAACCTGGGGGTGGAGAGGGAACCCATGCCCCTCCCAGTATATGCTAACAGTTTGGAGAATCTTCGAGAGGGAACCCTGGAACTGACCAGCACATTGTCATCACAGTCACAGGAGTCTACGTACATCAACAGAAGGGAGGGGTTTGAGGTGGATGAAGATGGGTACATGAGTCCTAGATCCACCCTCCACAGTGACAGTGACACAGAGTTAATGGGGGCAGATAAAGACCCCCTCTATGATGAAATTCGTTAAATTCAGAGCAGATCTTACATGTAAATTAATGTGTTCTCTTAATCAGTTGACTGTTAAATGTTTGGAAAAGCCTTCCTAGTTTGTTTGAATAGAAATATTGAGAGGAAAAATATCTGAATTTATTACAATATATAAAATAAATTTGTAAGAATGAAATATTAAGAACTATGATAAATGAATTATGCTGTTTTGAGAAATCACTTACATCTACTGTTCAAATTTTAAATATCCGTATCAAAATTAAGCACTTAAGTACAGCATTATTTGAGAAAACTGGTATGTAATTTGCAAAACATATTGGCACATGAGAGGAGCTTAAAAATTGTGATTGGGATGCATGGTTCATGTGTAACAGTGTAAAAAGTTAGAAATTTTGACTTGTCAATGAATTTTCCTTTTTTATGCTAATTTGGTAAGTATAGTTGTTAATAAATTTAGAATTGGTTTTTTTTTTATGAATTTTGTATGTATTTTTGCCATGTATATAATATTCATTATTGTGTACATGTACTTCAGTATTCAAGTCTTGGTTCATGACAAAAAATTACACTCATTTTACATACATATAAAGAATTCGACCACAACAGATTTATTTTATATATCTCTTGGAGTCTTTACAGTTTATGTATTTTAAAGAAGAAAATTTGATGTTAATATGCTGATTATCTGATGTACATGTCTTAGAAATTGATAGGAGAAATTCATGATGTGCCTAGTACTGCCCATTGTAATGTGATATTGTTTATATATATCAAATATTTGCATATGATTTCGTGTGTAATCATTTTGATACAGAAAATTGCTTAGTTACTGATAAATTTTAGGATTATGTTTGAATTATTTATCGCGATAATCATTTCACATGACATTAAAATCAGAAAGGGTTGTCAAGAAAATTGTGCATTAAAAGAATTACACTGCTTTACTTTGTCATTCACCATTTCTTAGGGGACCAAAAATTTACTAAAATGGATCATCTAATTGTTTTATTTACATTCCTTTTTTGAATTTTGAAACTGAAAGATTTTTTTAAAAGTAAACCACTGAGTTTTGTTTGTTTATGTATAGGTCAATGTCTATATCAAATGATATTTAATGCTTTTGTAGTTCCTAAGAATTGTTATTCAATAACATTTTTTTTACATATGATATATTATAACAATATGCATGTTAATGTTGCATTGTAAGCATAGTTTTTGTGAACTTTATTTTAAACAATACCTGACCATTTTTTTTATTGTCTTTGTTTGTGAAGATGTTTTCAATTGTTTTATTTAGTGATTTACAATTGTAAAAAAAATCACAATATTAATGATTTTTACTCACTTTTTTCCTTATTATACAAATGAAAATTTGTATATTGTGTTTTTTTATCCCAAGAATAAAGAGCAACAAGATATAACCAGGTGTTGTATATCTCTGTAAAGAGGTTCAACGAAGTCATTTTTAGCTCACATGAGCCAAAAGCTCAAGTTAGCTTTTCTGATCAAAATTTGTCCATTTTCTATCATTGTTGTATTAAACTTTTTGCAATTTCTTCCTTTTGTCAGATCTTTAGGGTCAAATTCAACCAAAATTGGCTCAGCACTTGGAAAAAAGTATTCAATTTATTAAAATGAAATGCCCACTTTTCTTTCCAAGGAGTAATGTTTTTAAAAAAGTCAATATTGGGTGGGTTCATTTAGAAATTTTTTCAAGAACCACTGGACCAGAAAAGATTGAAAGCTTCCTGACATAGTGTAAAGTTTTGTTTTTTTAAAAATCACTACCCAAGGGGTAGAGTGGGACCACTATGGGCCATTTAAAATTTTAAATGGGTATAAATGGATATAAAAACCTTTAAAAAATCTTCTCAAGAAGAGACAAGGCTTGAATTATTATATTTATTTGGAAGTGTCCTCTGCTAGAAAGCAGGACAACAGGGAATTAAATTTCAACATGCATGTATATGTGAATAAGAATGCCCTTTCAGATACTGGACTACAGAAACAAGTCGAGATCGTCAGCATAAACGGTACTGTTTCCCTTACTTGAAATGGCTCCTGTTTTGCAACATTTGTATCTATGAAGCCTGCTTGCCTGTGCACGTTAGCCGATCTTTGTGTATTGAAATTCTATGGGTATTCAACATACTTTATCATGCTTGTATTGGTTTTTTTTTATATTAGAAAACAATAGAAAGTAAATTAGACAATGCAAAGAGTGACTCATAATTGGTAAAGTTTTGTCTGGCATTGTTTTTGTAATTTAAAAAGACAAAGAATGAACGGACACTAAACATGGATTAAATGCGCAGCCCATTAAAAATGACTGTTTATTTCGTCAAATGCTACAAGACACTGCAAAAAAACCTATGAGATTATTTCATGCACTATTTTTTTCACAAGTAAATCATGCTAGTTGTTTGAAGCAAAATGGCAGGAAGAATAATTAAAAACGTCCCCAAAACAAATGGATATCTCGAGAGATTAGATAGGTAAGTTTAAAAACAAAAGAATTAAAATTATGTTGAATAGTTCCTCTAGAAGTTGCGTCTGTGAATTTTTCGTTACTTCATGTCATTTTATTTATTGCAGTACAGAAGGCTCTAAACTAGAGATAAATGAAAACTTCAGACAGGATCTAGAGGGGGACCCGGGAGGAGAAACAGAGGGGGAGACCGCCGACCCGTATGTGTATTAGTATATATGGCACGCAAAATCCACAAATGAGCTAAACATAGTTTCGCAGTTGATAAACTAGGTTTATCGACTGTAAACTTTAGTTTACAAACCGTGAACCGTAGTTAACAATTCATTAACTATAGTTTTCATCTGTAAAACTATATTTAACGGTCGTTAACTATAGTTTACGAATGCTTATCTAAGTTTATCTGTCTGTAATAAAACTTTTACAATAAATTGTGTTGATTAACATAGATTCACGTCTGTAAACTATAATTTACAATCGTGAACTATCGTTAAGACTCCTTAATCATAATTCCACAAATCGTGAAATTATATTGATCAGATCGTTAACTATACTTAAGAGTCGTAAACCATAGTTTACAAATCGTGAAACTGTATTTATCAGATAATCTATGTTTTGCAATCGCAAATGATTGTTTTCAGTGTTAAGTATAGTTTACGGTTCTAATACATAGATTATCGCGTTAACTATGGTTTAACAGATGTAAAATATAGATTAATATAGATTAAAATATAGATTAATTGTTAACTATAGTTTACAGTCCGTAAACTATAGTTTACATCCGATAATCTAGGTTTATCGACTGTTAAACTATGTTTAGCTCATTTTTGTTAATTGGCGTGCCATAAGTATATCTACAGTTATACAGCCCTCCATTTTCTGGTACATTGACATTGTATAATTATTTTCTGTGAAAAACTTTCCAAAGAATTCTGTACATAGCCTTCCAGCAGGTACAAAAATATTTAACGTTTTTAAAACATTTCCAAATTGTTTTGAAAACATTTTTTAAAATAAAGTTTAAATAATGCGATTTTGTTTGTTTTTAAAACATCTTAGTAATGTATTTCAGCAACTGTATTGAAAATTTTTTTTAAAGGGCACGAAATTTTTTTTATGTTATAATGACGTACATGTATTTCTTTAAGATTAGTTTTTTTAACTTAAAAAAATCTGACTACATGTATAACTTTTTGAAATGGGATTTAAAATGTTATAGTTAGAAGAAACAATGTTTTGAATTATTCTAAAACGTTCTGAAGAGCATGTTTTGAACAGAAGATAATATGAAGATATTAAAATCAGCAGAATTCTAAAATGTTGATGTAAAAGAAACAGGATTGATGATCAAGTCCCTTGTTTTATTTATTCTCCGTAATTAACTATATTGATCTTTAAGGATACCGGAGGACGAGGATGTGCACGCCAAGTTTCAGGACTGGGACTCAGTTCTGGAGGAGATGGAGGTACACGGAGAGGAGGGTGGCCTACCTGACAATGATGGTCCAGGAATAACCAAAAACGATGAAATACTCAGTGTCAGAGAAATGGAGGATAATTCCAAGAAAGAACCAGAAGACGATATGACACCGAAGACCAATAAAGCAGAAGAAAAAGATCAGCGTATAAGTACACCCGTTGTTGTGTGAGTAACATTATCTAGCGACCATTGATTAATTATGAGAATGATACTTAACTGTGTTAAACATTTAAGAATATCTTTTATACAGAGACATTTTTGTTACGAAGCACCTTTGTGACGACATCACTTTAACTCTTCCATCCAGTCTTGCTGGTAAGCTCCAGCCATTTCAGGCCGTTCCCTGGACTACAGCACAAAGATCTGCCATGTTACATCAAATAGATCTGGATTTCGTAGATAGGTTTGAGTCTGACATCTACTCTCTAGTGCCCACTGATGTGTTGATGAAGCTTCAGGATGTGGACATGGAGAGCGAAGACATGATCTGGAAGGATTATGACGTCTTCAATGTTCCTCAATCCTATTTGGATGATATCACGTTTAAAGTTTCTTTGAATAATTACAATCGAGAGTCCTCTTACAATCTCTGCGCCAAGATAAAGACAAAGAAAAAGTGGATTTCAATCGATGTAAAATATGATGAGGTAATATAGTCAATACAAATCTTTAACTATATCTCATATATTAGTATGTTTTCTATTTCACTAGGGTTTCCACTTTTGACTCTCTCTTCTATACCACAGGCTGGGTATGTCGCTTTCAGTTGCTGCAGTGTATACTCTGTTTGTATCATTGCTTCACCTAAGATTGAGAGATGCACCCTAACTCCTGAGGGCTACAGGTTTGTTCCAGAAGATGATGCCAGCCTCTACATTGACTTTCCAGCAGGAACAGTAAATAAAAACGAAGACATAAAAGTACAGGCAAGTCCATTTGTCGATCTTAAATATCAAAAATTAACTAGAACTGTCCAAACGGGACAAAATACCCCCCGCTGGGTTTTTCAGAAGTGCTAAATCATGAATATTTTATGGATCTAAGAGAAGAGAGAAATGCTACAACATTTTTAGTGCAAATGTAATTGCTCATTATATTTTTTTTATAAATGAAACGAAGGCGCAGCCTAATAAAAAAAAATAGACTAAATATACGGACCAGACACGAATTATGAACTTTTTCTGTCAGTGACTTGAACTTGCATAAATGACCTTGTTTCAAAGTCATGACACAACCTCAGGTCATAAGCAATGTTTGTGTGAAGTAGTAGATTCAAGTTTTTTCCATAATAAAGAAAGATATGGACCAGACACAAACTATAAAATTTTTCTTCCATTGACCTTGAACTTCCCCAAATGACCTTGACCCAAGATCATGACACATCCTTAGGTCATGAGCAATCTTTGTGTGAAATGAGAACCTACCAAGTTTATCCATAAGAAAAAAATGGACCAGATACGAATTATGAAATTTTTCTTCCAGTGACTTTGAATTTCCCCAAATGACCTTGACCCAAGGTCATGACACATCCTTAGGTAAGGAGAAACGTGTGAAATGAGAACCTACCAAGTTTATCCATAAGAAAGATATGGACTGGACACAAATTATGAATTTTTTCTTCCAGTGACCTTGAACTTCCCCAAATGACCTAGGTTCAAGGTATTGATACACCGTTAGGCATTAGGTTATAAGCAATCTTTGTGTGAAATTAGAACCTACCAAGTTTATCCATAAGATATGGACTGGACATGAATTGTGAAATTTTTCTTCCAGTGACCTTGAACTTCCCCAAATGACCTTGGGTCAAGGTCATGACACACACTATAGGTCATGTGCAATCTTTGTGTGAAATAGTAGAACCTAATGTTCCTCCATAAGAAAGATATGGACCGGACACGTTTGCACAGACAGACGGACAGACGGACAAGGTGATTCCTATATACTAGTACCCACCCCGAAGTTTGAAGGGGGTGGGGGTATAATTAGGATAAATGACTAGATTCATTGCAAAGAATCTGTTTTTATAAAACTTTTATTGAGTGGTGACGTCCTTCTTTCAACAATCTTTTCTTTTTTACAGTTGATACCTGTAGCAAAAAGAGATATGAAAAGGCGTTTAGATGCACACCCAGAAATTTACGATATTTTAGCAATGTCCAAATGTATACTTGTTGACCACACCGTGGACAGATTTCAGAAGCAGATGGAAGTTCAGTTTACCATGGATAATGTCACATCTGTTGATCCTGAGGACCCTGACTTCGAGCTTGCTTTCTTCTACTGGGAAAATGGCATTGCCAAGAGAGCAACTGGAAAAAATATTAAGAGGAAGAATGGAACTTTTTTAGTAGACGTTGACCATTTCAGCGGGTATTCTTCCTAGTTATAAAATATATGATCATAATGATGAAACACATTTTACAGAAAATTTAAATTGCAAAATTTAATTAACATTCTTAATCGAAAAATTACTTACCTTTTGCTTTTTGCTGTCTTTAAAGTGTATCCTGTGCACTCGTCAGAAGGAATGCCAAAATGTCCCCGTTGGAACCTTACCTTGTCTACGGAATGATCCATACATGTACCTTGCTCATCTTTATCAAAAGACGGAAAGAAGATATGTTATCTTTATGGTGCGAATGTGCCAAACGTGAAATGGCGAGAACTGTTGCGGAGAAAAGAATCAAAGACCACGATTTAGAAGAAATTGACTGTAGTCATTCAAAAGATATATTTGTGAGAGAAGGTCAAAGGATTCGAATTGATGTCAATGGATCAGTCCAGTTCGTTCGTGAAATTCCCAAGTCATTTTATTTATTGACTTTCATTCCTGTAGCAGAAGACAACCATATCTATTTTCCTCTCCAAAAGAATGTCCGAATGGGTTCTGTTCCTTACGCTGTTATCAACTTCTCCGCAGACAACCAAAAGAAGCAGCTTCTTCACAGCGTTCACTTCGATCCTTGGGTGAAAAGTGCATCAGCCCTGAAGAAGTATTACACTGACATTGCCATTTATAATCGACCAAACACATCAAGGACAGCCCACACTGATCCTGGACCATCCAAAACGCCCAGAAGTCCAAGGAAAGTTCGATTACAGGTCAACAATGGGTTAAACACGGCTGCGCAGTGCGTACGAGGTACATTATTTATCCAATTAAAATATGTTTCATATCTTTAAACGAATCAGAGATGTTACTGAGGATTTTGATATTTTTTTTCCAACAGATTGGTTTGACAATGAAAAGAACTTGCTTGTGATCGCCAATCAGATTCCTGTGAACAAGTTGGTGCCATTTGGAATCCATCTCTGTATTAGATCGGAGGATATCAACAGATTAAAGAAAGAGTACAAGGAAAATGACGAGGAACTACAGTTTTTCTTTATTAAGTTTTGGGCGAGGCGAGTGAAATCTTACCTGAAACCAGAGGCGAGGCTAGAACAGCTTACAAAGGCCATGAGTAGTATTGGTCTGCAGAAACAGGCTGAGATCGTCAAGAAGGTTTACAAAAATAAAGAAGATTTGGATTGTGATCATTTTAATGACCACAAAGGAAGCGACAAGTAATACAGGTTTAATATATAACATGTACACTGATTTTTATCATATTTATTTTTCTTACTCCATGAAGATTTACTTATGTTTGTTTATGTATACATGTATATATAATTTTTCTCTTTTGCTTGTTCACTTGGTTTTTCAATCTAATTAGTTTGCCTCGAAATACTACGTACTCCTGAAATTACACTGTAGATTCATTTAACTGCATAAGTATATAGAGAACATTTAGAGAAAGGATAGAGTTACTTTTTAAAAAAAATTACTGAAATTGGTTATTTCGTTACGCCACGTTATAGTACGCTGCACCTTAAAACCTGTTTACCATTTCTGAGTGAAACTGTCCAAGGAAGGCGTTATATCCCGTCATGTTCATTTATTGATATGACAATATGAAGCAATAAACTGAATCTAATGTCCCAGTAAATAATTTAGTAAGCTTAGATTTATGGAATTTTACTTTTTAAGGTCATAGGCAACGTAGTTTGAACTTTTTTGGGTTCTCCCCTGGAGTTGAAGAGTTCCACTAAATGAAGGACCTGTGTGCAGTATTTTTAATGTCTATAAATGGATTTGTACACCTCTTCTAAAACAATTTTCGAAGAAAAAAATTTGAAATTTATGTTTTATAATTTTTGTACATTTTTATTTGAATAATGCAAAAATTTTCAAAATTCGATATCTTTTCAAAACCTCTGGTAAGGCATGCTGAATTTTTGTCTATGAGCATATAATTATATTATAAGTTTAAATTTGGAATATCTTGGAAATCTATCAGTAGGTAAGGTACGTTGCGTATGTCCTTAAAAACTACAATGAACAGTGACTGCGTTTTGAACATTTTGCAATGTATGGCATATGGTGCATGTATATAATACTACTTCAAAATTTTTAAATACATTGATTAAATTTATAAATAAGTAAATAACATGTTATATAGATGTATGTCTCATGTTTTATTATTGTTTGCAGGTTTATTCAAGCGTAATGTCATCTTCATTAGAAAATCTTTACTGACGACAAGAGGTCTACCAATTTTTGCATACTTTTTCCTTTTTTAAAAAAAATTGACTGTTGCATTAAAATCATCCTGAAGAAGCCAGAGTGAGTGACAGTCTTCCACAACCTTCTTCTTAATTTACCGCTCTTCTTTTGACTTTCCTTCACTAAGGCATTCATGTGACGTATTATTCTATAATTATTATATCCCCGCTTGAAAAGCGGGAGGGTATACAGTAATCGGTATGTCCGTCCGTCTGTCTGTACGTCCGTCCGTCCGTGTGTCTGTTACGCTTTGGGGTACCCATCTCTTATCCGCAACTTCTCTTATACCGCCGAGTGAAATTTAAGGAAACTTTCACAGAATCTTTATTACATATTGCCATTGTGCACCTCCTATTTTACTTTTTGATCCAACACATATTTTGGGTTTCACAACCACAGCAAAACACGGACTTTGCCATTATAACCATATGGGAGGCGGGGGTATCATGCATTTATTGAGCTCATTGCTCACAATACTTCGAGTTTCTATTAAATATACTACGAGTAATTCAATATATAGTAAAGTTTCTAACGTCAAGGAGTGGGCCATAGTAACAGGTATCAAAAGTCTATGGTTTAAGTCAATCATTTACTCTGTATCTGATGCAACACCGCCCGGGTGATTTCACAGTGTAATGAATATCGTAACAGTAGAAATAACATTATGTGTAAGATGGCAACTAGGATTGTAAAAGAATAGGGAAAAAACTGCAGTTCATGGAAGGCTTAAAGGGACATAAACACAGTTCCAACTGAATTTTTCAAACCAATTTTAATGTTTACAATTCCAGACTAATAAGCATCATCTAATGATCAGTAAAAGTTTGAATATCATTTATTGATTAACAAACGAGATACAGAACTTAAAGTTCTTCATAATGTAAATAAGGCTCGTGTCTTGTTTTTGTTGACATATAAAGAATATCATATTTATAACAAAATGAAATTCACCAAATCAATAGAAGCAGTCTAATCGTATTTAGAATTGATTTCTTTATTGAAATCTGCTTTGAACAAACATGTTTTAGTATATTAACCTATGTAAACAAAAACAAGACACGGACCCTGTTTACGTAACAAAGGTTTTGGAGCTTTAAATCTTTCTTGTGTATCTCGACAACTGAATCACAAATTTTTGATGATCATTAGAAAGACCTTAGTTAAATATTTCTAAAAATTGAAAAATAAATTTGAACATTTTTAGCTGAAACTGTGTCCATGTCCCCTCAATAGACGTACGTTAAGATGATCTGAAATGAGTATCGACATGTAAAATCATCTAGAAGACGAGTAACATTTTTATGGTGACGTGTTAGGAATATCCTTACGATGCACTTCTTTTTAGAAAACAATTTGAAAATAATCAAAATAAACAATCATATTTTAAGGCATTATATTCAAAACAGACAAAGGTTTTTATGTGTATGACATTTTGTCGATGATATTAAAGAATTAACGGTTTTTACGACTTTACGTTTGAACCAACCCTTGCACATTGTTGCGTCTTTCAAAGGTCTGAAAACATTTTTGATTTAAAATAATTTTCACTGTTAAAATGATTAAAATATAAGAAGAAAGAAATAAAAACCACATTAATAATTTTATGAAAAGTATTTTATTGACAATGTACGAGGGTTGTCCCGTAAAATCGTGGACAAGTTGTCTAGTGTAAAAAATAAACATCACTGCGTTCTGAAATTTTCACTATTATTTAGAACATATTTTAGTAATATACACAGCAAATTTCAGATAAATATATGCATAAATAAACAAATTATGTGATTTTATGCCATGTATTGTATCACCTTACGGCGCATGGAGTATAACGTCAAAGTGTCTAAAACAGTGTCTTTGCTGAAAATGAAGTTGGATGAGTCCGACTTAAATTTAGGAGTTTCATTGATACACATTCTTTAGTCTCCATAAACAGTCGAAGAACCATTTGGCACCCTCATGCGATCTTCTGAAGATTTATCAGTAAGTTACGGACAATATTCTCACCATCATTCAACTAATAGAAAATCTCATATCGGCGGTCTACTGTGACAGCGTCTTTTAGGAGTTTGTCCGTATGTTTTGTACTCCCCAGGGACTCGATCAAATAAGACTTCGCTAAGAAAACTCCTATTTCATTTGTATACTTAAGATATGGTGATAATTTTATAATCTTTTTTCTTCTATGGTCATTTCAAGTCTCTAAAGGTGTCATTACAACATCGAATTAAAACGGAACTGCTCTCCGGTGCGCCGTAAAGTCATAAAACGTGGCCATTTCTTGTGCGTTGTGTTTTTTTTTTTTACTTTCCAATTTCGAATGCTCAAAAAACTGCCAAAAATTAACCAAATGCCTTAAAATTTCTACAAAGACTAGAAAATTGATTGTGGAATTGAAATATGGTACTTTTAATTCAAATCTTATGTATTTAAATCTTTCATTTTGAAATTCAAACTAGTGTATTCTTTAATAAAATCTTGAATGGTTTTTTGACCGTGCGCCGTAAGACAATACCCCGGGCACATTCAAGCATAGTCTTTATTTTTTGCCTATATTTTATCAAAAAAAAATTATTACGCACATAAATATGTTAAATAAACATTTACGTAAATTTTCAGATTAGTGCACCCATTACTTTTCGAGAAAAACGCTTTGTCCACGATTTTACGGGACAACCCTCGTATATCCATGAATGAACAGCTGTTATATTCTAGCACCATTTCCCGATTTATCAAGGATATTTGTAAGCACCTGAATTCAGTTGTTCATGTTCTTGTCTATACTAAATAGGATTGAATATTTCTAACACAGTGTCCCTGTCGTCATACAGATCCCAAATTCATGATCACAGTTTTCTTAGAAAAATCAACTCTGTGTCCAAACGACTGGCTTCTGCGGGGCCTAGAACTCTTTAGTTTGTTCTGTGAACCAAGTCTCGAATATACTTCTTTGAGTCGATGCATACTTGATGTATCCGACAAAGCTCGTCTTATCTTAACGGAAAAAATATTTTCTTTTTCTTTAAAAATTGGACAATTTCGTTCCTTTGAGCCACTAAAAAATTGACAAAGCTTTTTAAATCTCGGTGTACTTTTTACAGCTGATAACACATGCACTGGCGCTTGTTCTATCGCTTTGTCAAGAGATGCAAGAATCTGATTCATCTCTTCTTCGGTCGATTCTTTCTCTGCTGTTCTTTTGAGTGATCTTTCTATCTTTTGAACATCTTCCTCCAATAAGGTTTTAGAGAAGTCCACATACATGCATACTGTAGCAGACAGTATATATGGAGTGTCTGGTATGTTAATACTAAGGACTGGTATTAATGGAATTTTTCTCTCAATTGTTTGTTTAAAAGTAAGGTTTAATCTTTCAACTAAGCCTGCTTTACTAAGAAATTCTTGGGATATGACGACCATTACATTTCTTGAATGAAGAGTTTATTGATCTTTCTAAGGAACAGTACACATTTTCTCCAACAATTGCGTAATCCTCTTCTTTCACGCAATGAATGTTTTTATTCTTTAACTCTGTTACAAGTTCGCAGACCCAGTTAGAAACCTCTTCCTCTTCTCCATGGGTCAGAATGAAAAGGTGTATTTCTTCCTTGAGAAATCTGGTCATGGTTCTCTTTAATATCTTCTAATTACCTGCAATAAAAACTTAACACTATATGACAGTGATACACGGTTTTAGAATGCATTTTCCAAGAAACAAAACAAAAAAAAAACCCTCTCTTTTATCTTTTGATGAAATATATTGAGATAACAAACAGTATTGATGTTAAAAAGTCCATACAAATACGAAATAGGAGTTGAGCAAAGACAGACCTCCAAAACATCGGAGGTGGGATCAGGTGCCATAGAGGAGTGAGCATCCCCTGCCCGACCGGTCACACCTACCATGTGATTCTTATCATGATTGGGAAATAACGGAAAAATCTGTCGTCAATTCAGTTTGTGACTTAACAATTAATATGAAAAACATCAGTCAGTATTTGCTGACAAGGTCA